CTCCCTAGGGTTAAAGTGAGTGAGAAGGATCTGTGTCTGGTAGAGGCAATGTCAGGTAAGTCCCTCAATCAAGGGGCTTTGTCTCCTCATGACTGTGTCCCATCCCCCAAGACATGCGTGGTACAAAGGAGCTTGGTCTATGTTGTTAAATCAATGAAATATGTTGAAGAATGGTCTCATTTATATAAAAAGGTAAAAGACCTTGATCCTATATAAATATCCTTGCAAATGCAAACACCAAAAAGACACTGAAGAAATTGTTAATGGTGGAGCGTACCAAGAGGGAGGAGGCCTGGTGCAGGAGGAGGAGGGATACCCTTCTGGGAGGCCTGACAGCTTCTGGGATTGTGTATTGCTTTTCTAATAAAACCTAGTTTAAGGCTACTTAATCCACTAGATCCTCAGTTTCCCTATCAGTGATATGAAGAATAGTAATAATTGAGGGTTATTATAGCATTTAGAAAACAGATAAAATCCTGCAGATAGGCACTTCATGCACAGTTCCCTGGCACACACTATGTACACAGTAAACATGTTATTGCATATATATGTGTGTGTGTGTGTATAATATATAGATATATATATATATATATATATATATATATAGAGAGAGAGAGAGAGAGAGAGAGAGAGAATTTTTTAAAGACTATGGGGATCCAGCTCCAGTCTCATCCTCTGAACCTATGTTTATTTTACCTAGAGCTTTCTTTCCCAGGACAGCTGCTGGGCTCATTCCCTCATATAATTACACTCTGCTCAAGTAAAATCTGGCAGCAAAGTCATCTCCCATCAATCTCATGGGAAACGCACCCTGTTTCCACCCCACCTTGCCTGTGCCCTTGACCGTACTGATATTCCTCCCGGCAGGTAAAGACAGCCTGCCGTATTGTGTGTTTCTTGCCCGTCTCCTCTCACTACAGAATAAGCTTGAGAAGAAACATTGTTTTGTCTCCAGCAACTAGAACACTGCCTGACGTGCAGTGGGCATCCGATAGACAGTTGTGGAATGAATAAACATTTGAAACATGCCATCAGGGAAACCAAAGAAACCTTGGAAACGACAGGGTGACCAGAAAGGACTTCCCACAGAAGGTGCTCTCTGGCCGGACTTGAAGGCCACAGGGAGAAAGAACAGCCGGTTGGTAAATCCACAGAAGCAGAGGGCGTAGATGGTGGGAAGGGGGCCCAGAAGCAAAGCGAAGAAGTCCTGAGACCACCCGCGGAGAACGGGCCTTGGGTGCCTGGTGGACCCACAGGGTTGGCCTTTGGAAGGGACCCAGCCAGGAGCTCACGTCTGAAGCAGGGAGTGTTTTGAGGACCCTTCTCCAGGTGAGGGGGAGAACCTGAGCTAAGATGCAGGTGTGAAGGGACAGGTGTGGGATATGGGGTCACTCGCTCGCCTAAGGAGGGAGAATGGACAATCACAATGGACTCTGCCTGCAGGGTGCCCCCGGGGAGGAGGGTGGCACCGGAAGCGGCAGACGGGGGCAGCCAGAGCCTGCGTCTTCAGTGAAGGCAAGGCCTCCCCGCGGGCTGGAAGGGCCCACCGCCCGGCGCTGCGGCTGGCTCACCTGGGCCGAGGTCGGGGGCAGCCGGTCCCGTCGGGGGAGCTCGCGTCGCCGCACGCGTCCCTCGGGATCCCAGGGAGGGCGGCGGCCGCAGCAGCCTGCCTGCCGTACCCTGGCGCTACCGGTGAGCTGGGGACGTTGGCTTCGCCCGCAGGGTTGGCACGCGGGGCGCGCGTGGGCCACACAAGTGCCCGGGAATGGCACCTCCCAGGAGCCTCGGCGGCTGGCCTCGGCGGGAGCGGGGGTCCAGGCCTGGGCTCCTCGTCGCCTCGGAGCGGCTCCTTCTGGACCCCTCCGAGCGCTAGCTGCCGCCAGGTCCGCGATCCCGGTGACCTGCGGAGCTCGGGCCCCGGGCTCGTGAGCTCCAGGTTCCCCCAGCGCCCAGGCGACCCTGAAGGGCTGAGTGCAGAGTCGAGCGCAGGGGGAGCCTTGAAGGCCGCGGCGAGCAGCCTGGGGGACTAGGCGGAGTAGTCAGTGGCCTGCTGTGGCGCCGGCTGGAGAGGGGCGAGGAAGGCCAGGTGCAGACAGGCTGGGTTGATTGGCACTGGGACGATAGGAAAGAAATCGAGGGAAACTCGGCATTTTTTGCCTCCTCAGTGGGGTGCCGAGAAGTGCCTAGGATGCCTGCGGAGGGGTGGTGGCAAGTTTGTGATGCTATCAGACATCAGGGCGGAGAAACTTTGAGTGGACAGGAGCATCCGGGAGCCAGCGAGCTGGAGAGGGCACAGGCCAGGTAGACTGGTATGGGGGATGACCTCGAGGTGGGACGGAGATCAGAGCCCTGGGCCTGACATGCCCACATTCAGAGATCAGCAGGGAGGAGCGTCCACAAGGAGACCATCATGACCAGTGAGGTGGAAGATTGTGGGAAGTGTGATGTTCTGGAGGTTGGAAGAAATTTGCCGATGGAGGGAGGAAGGACCTGGGGAGAGGCTGGACTGGGAAACATGCACACCAGGGCGGTCTCCACCCGGCTTGCAGCAAGAGGGTGGGCAGTACCTGATCGGAAAGGAGTGAGGAATGAGGTGCTGAAGTGGGGGTCATTAATGTGGGCCATGCCTGAGCAGGGAAAGGAGGCAGAGGCCAATAGCGCACATCAGATGGGAGAACCTGTTTCTCCTTCCTCCAGATGTAAGTACTACAAATTGTTGTAGGTTGAAAAGAACAATCCAGCAGGGAGACAAAATGGATGATGCAGTGGAGAGCAGAGGCACTGAACAGGTAAAAGGGAGGGACCCAGTGTCCATGTGGGAAATTGGCCCCCTGTGCCTAGTGATGGAAAGCAGAGTGCCTGTTCCAAGGCACAGGTGGATATGGGGGACAGAATAATGCCCCTGCCATGCCCACATCCTAATCCCTAGAATTTTTGAATGTGTTAGTTTATATGGTAGAAGAAACTGCAAATGTGATTGAAGATAAAAGTCCTGGATATTAGGGAGATTATCCTGGGCTCTCCAGATGGGCTCCAAGGAAGGCACAGGAGTCCTTAAAAGTATAAGGAAAGAGGGGGCAGAAGAGGAGGATCAGAAGACCCATGACTATGGAGGGTCAGACAGGGTGCAACACACTGCTGACTTTGAAGATGGAGAAGGGGGCCATGGACCCAGAATTGTGGGTGGAGGAAATGGATTGTCCTCCAGCTTCTAGACAGGAATGCACACCAGCCTGCCAACACCTAATCTGAGCCCAACAAATCCTGTGGGGGACCCCTAACCTAAAGAACTTCTGGATAATAAACATGTTTTGGGAATACTGGGGATTTAACCCAGGAGTAATTTACCACTAAGCTACATCCCCAGCCCTTTATTTTTTTATTTTGAGACACCATACCCAGCTACCATGTGGTGTTTTAAATCAAGTTCATCGTCATTGGTTGTGACAGCCGTAGATGACTAATACACAGGGCCAGGGATTTGAGACAAGGAGGTAATTCTCAGAGAAGGAGGAAGCCAGGCCATCGACTGCTTAGCAGGAGGCCTGTGAGGGAACCCAGGGGCCGTGGAGTGAGGAGGCCACAGGAGATAGTTGTCTGGCGGAGCGTAAAGCCTGTAGTCCCAGGTTCTAGGCTGTGCCCTGGGCAAAAGCGGCTCTCACCCTAGGAAACTTGGTGGTCATGGCTGTGGGAGTCATTCCTATTTCAGAGAAAGCAAAAGTTGCTTCTAAAGATTAGAGAGGCTGACTCTGGACTGGAGAAGCACAGGGCCTGACTTCTGGGTCAGCAGCTTTTGACCTTGGGCAGGTCCTGGCCCTTTTACCCCAGGTCAGCCTCTTGCACCTTGCATCCTCATTGACCAACCTTCCAGGGCCTCTGGGAAGACGGGGTGAGAGTGATGTCAGAGTAGAGTTGTTCCAAGCAATTCCAGCACCAGAGCTCATCCCAGTGGATGTTGTTGGGAGCCTCACAAGGTAGGGCTAACAGGAAGGCGTGTTACCTATTTGTGTCCCTGTGCATCACTCTCTGGGGCTATGAAAATAACCCCAGGAGTAACATTTCCACTCCTCCAGTCCTCCTGGTGGGCCCAACCCTCTCCAACCCTCTCGACAGCTCAGCCCCAGTTACTAAAATGAAGCTGCATCTGGTTATAGCCCAGGGCCAGAAGTCTAGGATTGAACTATAGGGAAACTAGGGTGAACCCCTGGTGGCCAGGACCTGCTGAGAGACTTTGGTAAAGGGGCTGTTGGGAAAGATGCTCTTAAAGACAAATGGCCCAAGAGGAGACCCATATGTCAATCCTAAATCCTTACATCTCAACCTTACCCAACCCTCAGTGAGAACAAGCTGCTTTGGGGTCTTGGAGCAGGAGGGGGCTTGGCTGTGGCAGTGATTGCTGTCGACTGACCCTGTGCTATCTGCAGGCCTTCCCCAGCTTGAAAGGGCAGGTTTCTACATCACAGCTGCCCATCCCTAGGGGTTCTAACTTCCTGGGTCCACTTTGACCTCAAGTTCAAGGTGCTTGCGGCCACAGCACTGCAAGCCATAAACTAGGTGGGTCTCCTTGTCCCCCAAAATCAATGGCACCCGGGGAAAGCTTCTTATCAAAAAGTGACAATGCAAGTAGCTTGACATCTGCATTGTGCTTGTGGATCCTAAGCCAGGTCTTTGACACTTCAAGCAAGATGGCCAGCAATTAGCATTAGTGTTTATTCCTGGAAGCTCATAAACAATAGAAGGATACAAAGAAGGGCCATTTCCCTATGGCTGAGCTACCCTGGAGACAAACCCCATGCCCATGAACTCTTTCCTCAGGAAAAGGAGGCCAGGCCTCAGGACCTGCCAGGCAGTGGAGGTGTCTCCACCTCCATCACATTAACTTACTTTGCTAACAAACGGTGAGAAATTTTAAAAGACATTCACTAGTGTCGGAGAAAAAAAAAAAATGTGCTTACTTTAGTATCCACATCTCTGACACATTAATGACACATCAGTAATACTTCAAGGGTAGCTAACTCCAAAATTCTTTATTAATTCAACTGGAACCCTTGATGGCAACCACAATCACAAACTCAGGTGTGCTACCAACAAGTTGTACAGAGAGTAGCTCAGAGCAACACTGCAGAACTACTAGCCTCTCCCTAGGATCTTGGCAGAAGTGGCAAATTCAAGCTTCTGTTCAGGGGGCCGTGGCCTGAGTGTCCAGCCCTGGGGAGGCTCAGCATCACTCTGTCACTTCTACCCCCGTCACTAGACTGCCAGAAAGGGCTAGCGCAGGTGAATGTGTGAGAGCCCTGGTAGCCTACCAAATTCTTCCTCCTGCCTGTAGCTCCCTCCCTCTACCCATCCCAGAGCTGTAGGTTCCGGGAAAGTAACTCCCTCAAGATACAGGACTAGGGCCTGACTGGGCTGGTCATCAGGGGCTGCCTTGCAAGCCATCCACTGGAGGAAGGGGAAGGGCAGACCTAGGAGATGTCTTGCAAACTTACTCCACATCTGAACCCCAAGGATGAGGGAGTAGAGTTCAGGCAGGCCTAGCCAGTGCCTGCAGGTCCCTGGCTGGCATTTGTCACCAAGGCCTCCAGACGCTCTGGGGTAATCGGGCCACAGTCAGGCTACCTAGGGCTGGAGGCATGAAGTCCCTTCCCTCAGCAGGCACCCGACTCAGTTCAGCCTCTGGAACCTCCTCTAGGTCAGAGCACAGGTCGTCCCCCGGGCCTGGAGGGCTGGGCAGTGGGGACCCAGGGACCCCTCCGGGGGGCCAGCCACTTCCCCAAGGGGCTCCAGGTGGCCCTGCCAAGGTGTCCCCCAGCAGATCCCGGAAGCTGCTCCCCTCGCGCAGCGGCATGGACTCAAGCAGGTGGTTCAGGAGCTCCGCTGCTACCGTGGCGTCGATGGCCTGGCATGTGGACACGAATGTGTGCACCTCGTGCATGCACTGGATGTAGCCAGCAGCAAAACGCTCACTCGCTTCCGCTTGCAGCTGTTCACGCTCTGTGAGTGGGAGGAAGAGAGCAGCGCCCAACGCCATGAGCTGCGACGCCGGTGGCCAGGTCCACCCTGGCCAGGGGTACCAAGTTCACCCAGGAGAGGGAGGGGGCGTGAACCCTGCTTTTGGGAGCCCTAGCTACCGACAGGGCAGGGACGTCGCTGGAAGAGAGGTATTTTTTCAGGGCAATGACATCCTGGGAGAAGGCACCCGCGCCGGGTCCACGCGCCCCGCTGCCACTCACCACGCGCTCGGCCCCGTAGGGCGCCCTGCACGCGCCGCACTGTCAGCTCCAGCACCTCGGCGTTCTCCAGCTTAGCTTGCACCTGCGCGGGCAGGAAGAGCGGTGAGCCTGGCCGCGCGCTCCGGGACCCACCCCGCCCTCCCCGCAGCCACGGGCGCCCGCCGGGCCGCCGCACCTCGGCGCCAGCCAGCAACAGCCGCAACTCCTGCAGGCTCTCGTTGATCCGCGCACGCCGCTTCTTCTCCACCAGAGGCTTCCGGGCCTGCGGGAAGCGGGTCACTGAACCCCAGCCCCGCCAAGCCTCCCACTCGCCCTTCCGCCCGCGGGCCCCACCCGCACCTTGCGGTCCCCGCGGGCCTCCCAGCAGTCCTCGTCCTCGCGGCCCGCACAGTCCCTGCCGGGAACCAGGGGCGGAGCCATGCCCTCACCGCCAGGAGCGCGGCTAGGGCGGCGAGCCCCCGCGCCCCTCGCAGCACCGGGGGAGTCCCGCGGTCCCGCTCAGTTCCTCGCGTCTTCCGGCTCGCAGCGGCCCCGCCCCTTTTATAGCCACTTATTTGCATCTCAATGCGCCAATTGGCAGTGCGGACTCTAGCGGGCAGCCTCGAGGCGCGCTTCGGCCAATGGAAGCGGCGTGCTTTGTCCGGCGCGGCCGCCCCAGCCGGTCGGCAGCTGGCGGGGCGGGGCCCCCAGCCCCGCCTCCAACGACCTCCGCGGGGGCTGCACCCGGGGGGCGGTGACCCGGGGGCAGCGGCCTTGAGCAAGCTTGTTTCCTGCTCTCGGCTGCCATAGGACCCCCGGGTCTGCTGTGTCTGCGAGAGGGGGCTGACCCATTCATGCCGTCCTTCCTCCTTTCTTCCCTCCCACCATCCATCCATCTATCCGTCCATCCATCCTTGCGTTAGCTCCTCCCTTGGTTCCCTAAACGTGCCTCCCAAGAGTAGCGCTCCAGCCAGTCGCCAGTGGCCGGGTTCTGGAGAAGCAGAACCAAAGTCAAGTCCGTGGACTCCGGATCTGGAGGGGACTTCGTGTCCAGGCTGGGGTGGGTGCGAAGCCCCAGGGAAGTGGGGATCAGTTGTGCAGCCAGTGTAGGGTTGCCCTGCGATCCCCTCATGTTTACTGCGGACTCTGTGGACACCCAAGCTTGCCACTTTGCACCGGAATCCTAGTATGGGGAGGTCCGCGGGAGCTCCTTCCCAAACCGATCTTCCTTTAGGTTCTTTTCTCTTGGTCACCTACCCACCCCCCGCAGCCCCCACCTCCCCGCACACTGCCAGTCCTGCCCTGGCTCCCCCACCGGATGTCCGTAGGTCCCTGGTCACATCCCTCTTTCCCCCAGAGCTCCCCTCATTTCCCCCACAGTTCCCTTCGATTTCAACCTCCCCCAATACACACACCTCCTTCTTCCTCTCGCCCTCACCCCGCACAGCCCTTCCTTGTTCTCTCCCGCACCCCATGAGCCCACCCTTCCCTGGCCCCCACCGCTTCCATCGCCCCTCCTCCTTTGCTCCAAATCCCTTCCGTGCTGTCCCCCCAAGTCCCGCCTCGCTCCTGGCCCCCGCATCCTCCCGCCCGGCCCGCCAGAACTGCCGTCTGGCCGCCGTAACTTGATGCCCGTGACAGTTGGCAGCTGCAGCCGCTTCAGCGGAGAAAAGCGGCGGCAGCGCCAAGAGCGACAGGTGTTGGCCGCGCCTTTGTCTCGCCCGCTTTGTCCCGCGGGCCTCAGCTGACACGCTTGTGTTGGCCAGACGCCCGCGACCCCCACAGCTCGCCGCCCATCTGGCCGCCCAGCCTCGCCGTGGGGTGCATGGGCCGCGGGACCGCGCCCCTGGGCAGCGCCCTGGGGACCCTGACCTGTCCTCTCATGCCCCTCGCAGCCTGTCAGAGCCTGTGCACCCAGATGGCTTCTTGGCCCCCCGGCCTCTGCACTCAACCAGCCTTCTTCCTGAACAGGCTCTGAACCCACCTTCAGCAAGGGCCTCCTCACTGTTCAGGTCTCAGTTTCCTCTCCACGTCCTTGGGAGATGCCTGCCCCGTCCAGCTGGGTCTAGCCCAACACCCATCCCCGCAGCAGCACCTAACCTAGTCCTGCACTACTTTCCCTTGCTGGGATTGTCAGCTCCTCCAGGCTGTGAGCAACCCTGCTCAAGGGCCCAGTGCTGGCCTAGGACTCCTCTCCACCTCCCAGCACTCCAGCACAGAACTTGACCCCATGAACGGTGAGTAGGGAAGGGCCAGCGTTGGTAGCCTGGCTGGAAGGCTGTTGGAAGAGGAGAGCCCCAGGACACCACAGCTGGGCAAGAAGATCCTCACCCTCCATTCTCCCGAAGGCAGGTCCACCAAACCTGTAGCTCCCCAACAGAAGAACCATCACAGGCTACAGATACGATTTGGGTCAAAAGATTTGAAAGTCCCCAAAGTCACCTCGTTGACCTCTCATCACCTGGTAGCCCCTCTGGCCCACTCTTATCTATTCCTACTCTGCCTCTGGGTTACTCCTGAATGTGCAGGCCCCTGAGATTTCCCCTAGCCTATCATTTATCCAGCATGTGCACGCACGCACACACACACACACACACACACACACAAGTTCCAAAGCCTGGCTCTATTCCATGTACCCTCCAGGGAGGCTGCTCAGACACCCAGTCAGTCTTCCCCCAACTCCTAATAATGAGACTGATGGGGGGTGGTGCTGAATGGTGGATCCTAATGGAGCCTGTAGATGGCCTGTGACCTTAAAGTCCTTTACCACTTAGACATCACCTCTCAGGGAAGGAGACTCCCACGTGAGTACAATTAAGTTTCAACTAGTTTAAGAAACAGGAAAAAATAAACTCAGTAATGATTTTTGCACTCCCATGTTTGCAAACTTGTATTTCTCCCATTATCTAAGTGAACCAGGCCAAAAATGTTTTAGGATGCTCTCCATGAAAGTGTTCCCACTGGGATAGCATGATCCGGGAACTGGGGGAGCCTCTAGAAAGACACTGAGATTGACTGGGGAATTAGGTATGAGGGGCAGAAAAGGATATGATAAAGCCCAGTGGTACAAGTGAAAATAAAGGCGATAAGGAACTCCAGGAAAAACGCAGCCCGAGAAAAGAAATGGTCTCTTAGTACAATTTGGGCTTATGGAGCAACAATTCTCTTATAGTCACAGCAATGTAATGCTGTTTATAGGGTTTCAAGATTTAAAATCCATCTACAGAGAAGGCAAGGAAGGCTTATTTATAGTTGTTACTGACAGCCAATCCAGACTGGCCAGATTCAGCTGCCAGCCCAAATAAGAAATCAATCAACAATGGAAAAAGGAAAAAGGGATTTTCAGCAGTTTGATCAAACTAGGGAGAAGAGGTAGATGATTGAGTCTCTGCCAGTCTTACAGAGGAAAGGACAATTTCTAGAACCAAATACCAGGTGGTGATATACATATGTAGACATAACTGCCCAGTGACATATTAGTTTGAGCTCCTTGGCATCTGTGCAGGCCCAGATGTAGTTTTTATTCTCAATGTGAGGAAATTCAGGAACTCTGTTTTGGTTACAGGTCATGATGTCTTCACTTTGACTTTAAAAGCATACTAACAGAAGTGAGGGCTGGGGACCTGGGTGCTGAAGAGTCCTGAAGAATACTGCCTAGAGTTGAGGAAAGAGGACTGAGACATGCCTCCGTGTGACCAAGTACCCCTGAGAAGGAAAAGGGTAGGACTGGCCAGTGCTGGAGTTAGCAGAGTCCTTCTGTGTTGGACTGAAGTCGCTTGAGGCCCTCCTGCAGAGTCAATCTCAATTTCCTTTAGTGGGTCTGTTGTCGGGTGGCTTGGACTTTGTCCCAGAAACCTGGCTACCTCATCTTGGGGCCACCAAGCCTTGTCTCCTTCCTTCTTCAGGCCTCCCCTAGCCAACCCACTTCCTGCCATTTGTCCTTTGGACAGATTCTGCCTTCAAAGTTTGCCTGAGCACAGACTTCCTGAGCATTTGGGCCCTTTGATCCCCCTAGAGCCAGGGACAGAGCTCAGCAGAGGCTGAGCAGCGCCATGGTGGCCACAGGCTGACCAGTTAGCAGCAGGAGTGACAGGCCATAAATTCCCAGGGGAACAAAGGCAGTGACCAGCCTGCAGATGTCCAGGCCCTTGTGAGCAGTCTGCCCAGGAGACTCCGAGAGTCTCCTTTTGGTTTAGAAATAGAGAGGGTTTTTATGGTTGAGAAAAATGCGGTCACAGATCTTCCAGAGGTGCTCAGGATTCGGTGAAGCAGCTATCGGGCAGTTCAGAGGTTTGCAGCCACTTTGGTGTTTACTAGGACTCTGCCTTAGGTCCCTCCATCAGCACTGGTAGTCAGACAGCCAGGCCAGGAGCCAGAGTTCAGCCCACCTCCTGCCCAGGCAGCTCCGGGAAGGCTGAGCATTGGGCCCAGGATCCATTTACCCCTCTGTATAAGAAGTGGGAGGAAGAGGGGAGCAGGCCTCCTCACACCTCCCCTCCGCGGACAGGTTCCACAAGACTTCCCCCCAGCAGGTGGGGAGGCAGGAGGTGTGTCAGGAGTGCCCTGCCTGTCTTGTTCCCAAGGGGACAGCATCCTGACTTCCTGGCCTTCAGCTCCATGGCGGAGCAATCAGTCCAGCTGGAACTGACGACGGGGGTGGGGGCTGACCGAGCGGGGCCTGGGGTCTAGTAGAGTGGAGAGGGGCTCTGGCGCTGAGCCAGGCAGCACACCCCGGGATGGGCGAGTGAAAAGGCTGCAGGAGGGAGGACGGGACTGCGTGAGTCCACGTTCATCAGGAGTTCACTCCATGGCCTGTTGTGAAGGGGTCAGGGAGGTGAGAGTGCTGGAGAGAGGCAGAGCAGACTGGAAAGGGACCAGCAAGGGGGCCACAGGAGGGAAGCAACAACGTGACCCCTGGGGTCCAAGATTCCCTGATTCAGAATTGCTGGAGTGTTGCATAAAAAAAACAAACAAAAATACCCAAACACCTCTTGATCATCTTTTACCACAAAACAAAACAAACATGCAACTTAAAATAAAAATATATTTGCTTTATTTACCAATTTTCTAAAAGGCAAAAACATGATAAAAAGACACAAGCAGTCACACAGATATATTGCACTGGGTGAGGAGAGTTTGGTTTGTGCATGAACAAACCACTTGTCCGGCAAGGCTCAACAAATCATCACGTAAACTCTGACAGCTTATTTACACATCTTCTCATGAATATATTAAAAAGAAGGCTCAGTTTAAAACAGAGAAAAGGTTTTCTGACACCCGTGTAAGCACACACACTAGAGAGACAGGACTCGATGCTTGGCATCATGTAAACAAATTCACAAAATCACCCTATGAAGTCAACTTCTGAGCAGTTAACAACCAGTGAGCAAGTAGTAAATACAATAATGCTGATGGAAAACATTCACAGCAGGAGAGAGAGCATTTTGGCAGTTTTGTGTTTGGAACCCTAAGTGTAACCTTAGTCTACCATCTGTCCCTTAGGATCTGAGGCGGAGGCAG